ACTGCAGCCTCTGCCTCCCAGGTTCAAATGATTATCCTGCCTCAGCCTCCTGAATAGCTGGGACTACAGGTGCACACCACCACACCCGGCTAATTTTTGTATTTTTAGTAGAGACGGGATTTTACTATGTTGGCTAGGCTGGTCTCGAACTCCTGACCTCAGGTGATCCACCCACCTCAGCCTCCCAAAGTGCTGGGATTATAGGCATGAGCCAACACCCAGCCAAGTCATCCTCTTTCATTTGCATTAATTTGACTTGACCTTTCCTGTACTTCTTTTGAAATTGATCCCAGATTGGCAAAAAATTTAACTGTTGGAGTTGGATGACAGGTACACAGGGGTTCATAGGCCAAACTAAAATGTCAAATAAATGTATCTAAATACAAGCCTTTGTGTAAAAACAGAGGTAGAGACAGAAAGAGATCCCTATTTCTTCTTCATTGAGATGTATTTTCCCCCAACCTTTTTTTTATTCATTGAGATAGTTTGGTTTGAATTAAAATGTGAATTGCACTTTGTTTGATGCTCTCAATCCTTTTATCTTCCAGCGCAGAATCCTATGCCATTTTTCTTTGCCTTTTCTTTGTAGTGTTTGAAATACACCTATCAGAAGCTTAGGATATATTCTACTTATGCCTCTTCTTCCCATCCTTCAGGAATACAAATCTAAAAGGCCACCAATTTTTCATTTAGGACTAGATTAGTTGCCCCACCATCCTTTAGGAAAATGGTTCTCAGAGTGTTGTTGTAATAGCACCAGCATTACCTATGAGCTTGTTAGAAATGCAAATTCATGAGTCTCACCTGACCTACTGTATTAGCATCTCTGGGAATGGGGCCTGGGAAACTCTCCAAGTGAGTCTCATGCATGTTAGAGAACCACTACTTTAGGAAAAGAAACAGTTCCAATCCAAAAGTTGTCAGATAACACACATGATTAGTTAAACATGATTTCCATCATGTACCCAGACACTGAGAGTCCCTCACACCACTGTATTCATTAGCCTTTGTGACTATTTTGTATCTGCAATTAATCAATCCTCCCCTTGGCCAGATATTATACAGTATACTTCTACTACTCTATCTATCCTATTTTGTTTTGTTGTGTTGTGTTTTGTTTTTTGAGACAGGATCTTACTTTGTTCCAGGCTGGAGTGGGAGTGCAGTGGTACAATCGCAGCTCACTGCAACCTCCGCCTCCTGGGCTACAGTGATCCTCCCACCTCAGTCTCCCCAGTAGCTGGGACCACAGGTACCACCGTGAGATCACTCTCAGGATCTCAAATCTCAGTGCAGGTACATAATTTCTTGCCATATCACGTTATTACATCTTTCCCCTTAACAAATCTGAGCCTTATAAGAAGGATTTATCCTTCCATTATTACATTCAAATGATAAGACCAAACCCAGAAAGTCACCATGACAGTCGTAAGGTATTTATTACTCTCTTATAATCTCAAATTCTGCTTATGCTTCTCCTCTTTAGTAGTATTCAGTTTAAAACTGTTCTGGTTAATTAGCTAGTTCCTTCTAAGAAAACACATTTCGGACATATACTCCATCCTGCTTCCATATTCTCCCGAACTCAGTGGAAAATGATTATTATACTATGAACAAAAATACAGACTTTTCTTTCTAAGCTTTTAAATTAATGCTTTTATAATGATGATAAATAATAACTACTGGGGCCAGGAGAGGTGGCTCACACCTGTAATCCCAGAACTTTGGGAGGCCGAGGCAAGTGGATCACTTGAGATCAGGAGGTCGAGACCAGCCTGATCAACATGGTGAAACTCCATACAGAAATTAGTTGGGTGTGGTGGCACATGCCTGTAATGCCAGCTACTTGTGAGGCTGAGGCAGGAAAATGGCTTGAACTCGGGAGGCGGAAGCTGCAGTGGGCCAAGACTGCACCACTGCACTCCAGCCTGGCTGACAGAACAAGACCTTGTCTCAAAAAAAAAAAAAAAAAAAAAAATGCTATCATCAGAAAAGGATTAGTATAACCAGGAATATAGATGCGTTAATGCAAATTTTATTGCTTAATTTTTTTTTTTGAGACAGGGCCTCGCTCTGTCACCCAGGCTAGAGTACAGTGGTGTGATCATGGCTCAATGCAGCTTCAACCTCCCAGGCCCAAGCAAGCCTCCCACCTTGCCCTCCAGGATAGCTGGGACTACAGATATGCATCACCACACCTAGCTAATTTTTAAATTTTTTTGTAAAGACTCTCACTGTGTTGCCCAGGTTGGTCTTGAACTGAACTCAAGAGATCCTCCCACCTCAGCCTCCCAAAGTGCTGGGATTACAGGCATGAGCTACTACGACTGGCCGTTTAATTGAAAAAAAAAAACTTTACTTGAGGCCACCTCTTATTTCTTTTGTAAGCAGGAATATAATAAATACCACCATATTGATAAAATATTGTTGCTTTAAATAGATCTGTGATCATCTACTTCTTAGAAGTGGAAAAAACCAAATCATTCAAATGGATTCAATTGTATATTCTAGTGTGAATTATGAGATAATTGACATACATCAATTTTATGGATAGTATATTGATGTTTGTTCTACAAACAGACAAAGAAGTTCTAAGGTAGAGATATTTACAAGGTCTAAGTTGAAAGCCATAATGTAGAACATGGCACTAGAGAAATCACAGAATTTATATTCAAAATGCAGAATATTCTGAAGATATGTGTAACTAGTTCAAATTGAGATGCGTAACAAATAAGTGGTTTAAAAAGCAATTTATATACAGCCTGGCTTGCACAGCATATCTCAATTCCAAAGAAGTAATAAAAGATGGCAATAAAAGAATGTAACATATGGCCAGGCGCGGTGGCTCACGCCTGTAATCCCAGCACTCTGGGAGGCCGAGGCCAGCAGATCACGAGGTCAGACGATCAAGACCATCCTGGTTAACACGGTGAAACCCCATTTCTACTAAAAAATACAAAAAATTAGCCGGGCATGGTGGCGGGTGCCTGTAGTCCCAGCTACTCGGGAGGCTGAGGCAGGAGAATGGCGTAAACCCAGAAGGCGGAGCTTGCAGTGAGCCGAGATCATGCCACTGTACTCTAGACTGGGTGACAGAGTGAGACTCTGTCTCAAAAAAAAAAAAAAAAAAAAGAAAGTAACACAATAATAACAGAAAATAACGAACTGAACCACAAACATAATTTTCTGAAGAAACCTGGGATGTGAAAAGAGTATACTGCATATAAAACTGTAATTACTTGAACTATTATTCTTAGGAAATGAATGGGTAAAAATACATTACTCATTACTACAAATAAAACAATAAAACATAGCACATTAAACTATGGAAACATATTAATTCTTCAATAATTAGAACAGTTACATATTTCTACTAAATAGTTTTCTGGTTAAAATCAGTTATGAAAAGTAGAGTTTACAGAATATTTCTATTTTTAAAAACACTATCTTCTGGCCAAGCACGGTGGCTCACGCCTGTAATCCCAGCACTTTGGGAAGCTGAGGCGGGCGGATCATCTGAGGTCAGGTGTCCGAGACCAGCCTGATCAACGTGGAGAAACCCCGTCTCCACTAAAAATACAAAAAAAATTAGCTGGCGTGGTGACGCATGCCTGTAAGCCCAGCTACTTGGGAGCCTGAGGCAGGAGAATCACTTGAACCCGGGAGGCAGAGGTTGCAGTGAGCCGAGAGGGCGCCATTGTACTCCAGCCTGGGCAACAAGAGTGAAACTCCATCACAAAAACACAAACAAACAAAAACAGTATCTTCTGTTTCTAATATGGAACAGAAATACCTTATAAATAGTAACATTAAGCTAATATTGTTAAAATCATCAAATAAGTGATAAAATGGATAATATGAATCTTAGTGTAAAAATATAAACTTTGATTCACAGGTTCTGAGGGTTATGGAAATATATAAATATAAGCTTTGAGAGGAAGGCTTTGATGGTAAGATATATAACCACATTCAGAAAATATACTTCCTATTCCTATTTGTTTCTCAAAACTCTCACTAAAGTGAGAGTCACTTAGCTTTTGGAAGTCTGTTTCTCTGTACCAAAATTGGACCAGAAGATGACACATCAGTGAGAAATGCTTTGATGATTGACTAGAAAATTAAGTGCTTATAAACCCAGTATATCATCATCATCATCATCTTTATTCTTCCATTTGCTCAGTTATCTTGTCAGCAACACAGATACTATATAAAATCATCCTACCCTTTTTCACTTCCTGGCTCTTCTTTATCATTCTATCCAGCTTCAACGATCTTCAGCTTATTTAGGGCTAATAAACATGCTCACCCAAAGAAAGTGAGGGTTTACAATGTAATGTTCTGGTGATACCGTAGGTTTCTTAGGGGAAAGACATCTCATAAATATAAACGAATATGCTTAGAACCCATGGTTGTAATTTAAGATTACAGAAGTTTCTAACTATACTTCATTTAACAATATTAGCAAAATGTTATGTTTTCATGTCAGTTTTGACACATAAGAATAATACAGCAATGAATTTTTTTTCAATTAACAAAGAAAACAGTTTTTAAAAATGAGGCCAATTCTCTCCCTTTTATCATTGACTGGAAGATACGCCATCTTTTTATATTTTACTCCAGAGAGAATAAGGCTCATCATAATTGAAACGACTCTATTCTAGGACTATTCTAAAATGCACATATCCACCTCAAAAGATCTCTGGAAACCTAGTCAAATGTCTTTCTCTGACCATCATGCCTCACACGGAGCTAATAATGAATGTCTGCAACCAATTGAGGGACTTTAAAAAAGATGGCTGTCCTAGGAACAAAACTAATTCCTTTTGTCATTTACTCACTCAACAAGTATTTATTAAGCAGCTATAAATTGCTTCAATCATTCAATAAGTACACAAAATGTAAAAAATATAATAGAGTAAGGAATATTTCTACATTCCCATTTTTTGAGAAATTCCTAGCATGCACTTCACATATAGTTTTATGCATGCAAATGACCTTACCTCTCTTACAGATAGTTGTGGTGGGAAGGAGACTGAAAATACCAAGCTGGTGAATTCAAACCCAGAGGCTTCAACCTTTTGGCACACCTAAAAAAGCATTACAATTACGTAAATTCCCAGGAATTGCTGAAAATATTACTTACTCTAATCTTAATAACATGAATTTCTGGCCCAGGAGATGACATGGCAAAACTTCCAAACTTTCACATTTGACAGTGGAACACTGACAAATATCTTGAGATTAAATATTGCCTATGACCCTGAAGACTAATACTACAAAGAACCAAAACAGCCAGGAATAACATCTGCAGAATAAACTGTTAAGTGTCAAAATAGCTTTCTATTAGGTCACCCCCTAACTTTCAAACAAAACAAACCCAAATATAGCACTCTTGACAGAAAAAAACAAACAAAAGGCAGTCCCACATTCAATCATTTACCTTCTACAGGGCTGTACCACCTGTCTTTTCGGGACAATAATAAGTACAACTAGAAATGAACTTTTCTGTAATTCAGCTATGTTAAACAGCAAAATGAAAACAAACTGTTACATTTTTCTTCAATTAAATAGCACTTATGACTGAAACACATGAATATACATTTTATTAATTTTCAGATATGTCAATTAAAAAGTAATTTGAGAATCGTAGGTTTTGGTTTTTTTAAAAAACATTAAGAAAATATTTTAATGATCCAATTGTGTGGAAAAAAGTTGAAATGAACGGCAGTGTTCCTTTCAATATAAAAATTCTTGTACTGGGGCATGGTGGCATGCACCTGTAGTCCCAGCTACTTGGGAGGCTAAGGTATGAGGATCACCTGAGCCCGGAGGTGGAGGTTGCAATGAGCCGATATCATGCCACTGCACTCCAGCCTGGGTGACACAGTGAGACCCTGTCTCAAAACAAAAACAAAAACAAAAACCAGAAGGTCGGGCGCGATGGCTCATGCCTATAATCCCAACATTTTGGGAGGCCAAGTCAGGCAGATGACCTGAGGTCAGGAGTTTGAGACCTGAGGTCAGGCCCACATGGTGAAACCCCGTCTCTACTAAAAATACAAAAATTGGCTGGGCGTGGCAGCATATGCCTGTAATCGCAGCTACTCAGGAGGCTGAGGCAAGAGAATCATTTGAACCTGGGAGGTGGAGGTTGTAGTGAGCTGAGACTGCACCACTGCACTCCAGCCTGGGTGACAAGAGTGAAACTCTGTCTCGAAAAAAAAAAAAGAATTCAGCCGGGTGCGGTGGCTCACGCCTGCGTCTGTAATCCCAGCACTTTGGGCCAAGGTGGGCAGATCACGAGGTCAAGAGATCGAGACCATCCTGGCTAACATGGTAAAACCCTGTCTCTACTGAAAATACTAAAAATTAGCCGGGCGTGGTGTTGGGTGCCTGTAGTGCCAGTTACTAGGGAGGCTGAGGTAGGAGAATGGCGTGGACACAAGAGGCAGAGCTTACACGCAGTGAGCCGAGATGGTGCCACTGCACTCCAGCCTAGGTGACAGAGCAAGACTACATCTCAAAAAAAAAAAAAAAAAAATAGAATTCTTGGCCTTGGCCGGGTGCAGTGACTCACACCTGTAATCCCAGTACTTTGAGAGGCCAAGGCAGGAGGATGACTGGAGGCCAGTTGTTCAAGACCAGCACAGTAACATAGGGAGACGCTACCTCTACAAAAAGATTTAAAAATTAGGGCCAAGCGCAGTGGCTCATGTCTGTAATCCCAGCACTTTGGGAGGCCAAGGCAGGCAGATCATCTGAGGTTGGGAGTTTGAGACCAGCCTGACCAACATGGAGAAACCTTTTCTCTACTAAAAATACAAAATTAGCCAGGCATGATCGCGCATGCCTGTAATACCAGCTACTCGGGAGGCTGAGGCAGGACAATCACTTGAACCTGGGAAGTGGAGGTTGCGATGAGCCAAGATCGCGTCATTGCACTATGGCCTGGACAACAAGAGCAAAACTCCATCTCAAAAAAAAAGAAAAAAAAATTAGGTGGGCATGGTGGTACGTGCCTATAGTCCTAGCTACTCAGAAGGCTAATGTAGGAGGATTGCTTGAGTCCCAGGAGTTAGAGGCTGCAGTGAGCTGTGATTGTACCACTGCACTTCAGCCTAGGCAATAGAATAAAACCCAAAAAAGAAAGGAAAAAAGAATTGTCCTACCTCCAAAAAAGGAAAGAAAAAAGAATTCTTGTTCTTAAGACTGAAAATCTCTACATAATTGCACCTATAATGAAAAACAGGTTATTTACCTTTTTAACAAAATCTTTCTCACAGAATTCTTGAAGAATTCCTAGGCATACATTACATACATTTAAATTCGAGTTCTTGGAAGCAATGCTTCCATCTTGACTAACAGAGATCCTTCCCTCTCCATTTTGACTTAGATTATCAATACTATCTTCCAGTTCTTGCAGTCGAATTTTCTTGGGAGGTGGGTTCATAACTTCCAAAATTAATTCATCTTTTTCAGTTTCCAGAAATTTCTGTAGTTCATTGAGCAACTCCTGGAAAGTTAATGAAAGAAAAAGTAATGACCCACTGACAATGTCCTTAAGGCTTTCTAGGTAAGATGAAACAAGAAAATACGAGTGAAAATTAGGACATATCACAGATTTTACAATGTTGACATATCAATTCTGAAGCAATCCAGTTATTTTATTAGCCAGCATTGGCTTTTATGGAATTTAAAAGAGAATTACCTATCTCTATTATATATGTGGGAATACTTTTTCAAAAGAGTTCCATATATCAGTGAAGCAAAAGTCATAAATCTGAGGGAGAAAGGCTCCGTTACAAATTTGTTAATTTGTAATTCTGTTGTGAGTCATTCACTTGCTAATTTCAGTAAAAACAAACTTCAGTTCTAATGATTAACATATAAAAATACAAACTGAATTTCCATCCTTGCTAGGTTATTTAATAACCTCACAATTACTAAGAGCTCACAAGTATAATATTTATTTAATATGAAATCTGATCATTAGAGGTAGTCTAATAAGTAAAAATAATTTGGAGAAAATTTACTAAGAAAAGTACACAAATGCTGACAATGCTGAAAGTTAGCATATGATTATAAACTATTTCCATATATTAATTGAAAGACATGCTCTACTATATTCTAGTTTGCCTAATTTCTGTCTCGTATTAGAACTTGCATTTCTTTGAAACCATTCTCATATTTCTCTCATTCAGATATCCCTCTCATCTAAATACTCAGAGTATTTTCCCGTTTTGTTTAGACATGTTTTTTATGCCATTGATGAAAAAGTATCTTTTTCAAATTCATTCAGATGACAATTTACTGACTCTAAAGGGAAAAAATCTTCCACTCAAACAAATTTAAATCCACTTTATTGAGAAATTAGCTCTCCTGCTTTAACAGATAAATATACGTACATACATATACAGGTACATTTTGACTCACACAAATGTTTGTTGTTACCTAAAATCTGTAATATAGGTAAAACATAGTGCATATACAGATGTGCATATACATACATAGCTACATGAATAGAACAGATCAAAATTTAAGAACATTTCCAAAAACTTGTCCAAATATTCTTGTATATTTCTTTACATAAAATGAAACAAACAAAAGTTGGTAACACTCAGTCTCTTAATATAAATTTACAATCTAATAACATAATAGAATAATAGTTTAATATAAATTTAAAATCTAATAACATATAATAGAATAATAATCTGAAAAAATGTGTAAGCAGGGTTACACAAAACCAGTCTTATTACTTTACAGTCATATTGTGTATAAATGAATATACACATATTTAAATCATCATAGCACAAGTACCATTTCTGGTTTGTTTTTTGTTTTTGTTTTCTTAATTTTCAGACGGAGTCTCACACTGTTACCCAGGCTAGAGTGCAGTGGCACAATCTCGGCTCACTGCAACCTCTGCACCCCCGACCCCCAAGTTCAAGCGATTCTCCTGCCTCAGCCTCCCAAGTAGCTGGGATTACAGGCATCTGCCACGGCGCCCAGCTAATTTTTGTATTTTTAGTAGAGACAGGGTTTTACTGTCTTGGCCAGGCTGGTCTTGAACCCCTGACCTCATGATCTACCCACCTCGACCTCCCAAAGTGCTGGGATTACAGGCGTGAGCCACCGCGCCCGGCCAATTTCTGGTTTTCAAAGTGTTTCCAGTGTTTCCACATACTTTATTAGGTATCGTCCCTTAAAGTCCTGTGAGGTGGGTATTATATTCATTCCCATTTACAGAGGAGTAAACTGAAGCTGCAAAGTGGTGGAACTGCGATTCAAATCCATGTCTTCTAGCTCCAAATCCTAGGTTTTGAATTCAGTCAGACTGCTCAAATCCTAGCTTGCTCACTTAATAGCTGTGTAACTTTGGGCAGGTTGCTTAACCTCTCTGTATCTCAGTTTCTTCATCTGAAAATAGAGACAATCATAGTATGTACTTACCTAATCAGTTTATGTGAATTATATGAGAGCTTGACATATAGTAATGATAATTGAATATTATGTATTATTATTGCCAAAATAATAGAAACAACTAACAACATTTTAAAAATAACTGATACTACTAACTCCTGGACAATTTTTTAAATTACAAGAAATTGTGTGTGTATATGTTGTATACATACTGTTTATAAAGTATATATTTACATATGTATTATTACTATTTGCCTCTAAAAAGAATATCACTTTTAGAATCAAACATTTCATAAATGTTACACATCTTATGCAAAAAGTATTATATTAAACATCAAAGCTCTCTGTATATTACCATAAATGTCAAAGATCTCTGTATATTACTTTTGTCATTAATAACAGTAATAATGATTATGATAAGCATTTATTTCTAAAGGATTCCAAATACCTATTTATAAATACCACTAGTAATATAGAAAATGGGAAAAAACAGAAAAAGGCAACCATACCCACAATGCTTCCACTTAGTAGGACATGTAAGGAATATTAGCCCCTCCTGGGAGGAAGCAATATTTTGTGATACTGTGTTTAGATATCCTTTAGGAAACATCTATACAAACGTTAAATGCACCAGGGAGTTCCTCCACAAAGATCCCATTACACTAAATGTTAGATACCTAGATACAATCACTTAAGAAGGAACTTACATTTCTGAGACTATTCCAAAATTAAGAATATCACTCATTTTATTATAGATTTTTAATTTAAAAAAGAGTTATGAATATATACCTGCTCTCAAAAGTACAGGCATTCATTGTAAAATATAGAGAACCTTCTCTTAACTTGAAAAAAAAAGAAGAAAATACCTTGTATGGAAGTTTGTAAGGTGCATGAAAATCCACACCACAGAATCTGAAGATACATCTTGGACAAGTACCAGTACTGAGCAACAACTGGGCCACATGCTTGTTTTCCTCAGTCAGTGGGAACATACTGAATAATTATAACTAGAAAGAAAAAAAGTAAAACTAATGATCAGCTTCTGCGTTTTACTGTCACAGACAAGTCATCATGTTTAGGGATAAAAACTAGCTTTCATTTGAAAAGCACTATTGTGTACTCTCTAACCAAGCCCCTTTCATTATACACATATTATAAAATACAAACCTGAAGGAAGTTTATAAAATGGATCCAGTAAAGGTTTCTAATTGTTAAGAAATTTAGTTTAGCATTCTGGATTATGATAAAATATATCAATATAACTAAGTTGATCAAAAGAAATAAAAATAATCAAGAATGGTTGCTTCTGAAGAGGGTAATGAAAACAGAGGTACAGGGTGAAATTTTGCTCTTTGTTTTGTACCATTCAGTATTGTACAAAGTTAATTCATTAAACTTTTCCTATGAGAAATTAAAAATGAGTTTGCTGGTGGTGGGGCTTAGAAAGCCATACCCCAAAATGAAGGTCTCAGCAGCAGCCTCAGAAGCAAAACTTTTTCTCTGACCTTCTGCCCTCCTGTCTCTCAGTCTCATTCTTCCCCAGACTAGCCATAGAAAAACTACTGTCCCTCTTCCTCAAGGTGAGTCATAGAAACCAGAACTCCCTTTCCCCAAAGCCAGTCATAAAATCTAAAAATATTACTCAAATTTGGTCAGGTGCAGTAGCTCATGCCTGTAATCCCAGCACTTTGGGAGGCTGAGGTGGGTGGATCTTCTGAGGTCAGGAGTTTGAGACCAGCCTGGCCAACATGGTGAAGCCCCATCTCTACTAAAAATACAAAAACTATTAGCCAGGTGTGTTGGCGTGTGCCTGTACTCCCAGCTACTCAGGAGGCTGAGACAAGAGAATCGCTTGAACCCTGGGAGGCGGAGGTTGCAACGAGCCAAGATTGTGCCACTTCACTCCAGCCTGGGCAATGACAGTAAAACTCCATCTCAAACAAACAAACAAACAACAACAAAAAAAACCTCCAACAAAAACAAATTAAGTACATAGTATTTGAGAGCAACGGTTTGCTTAAGTTGCCAATTTTTGCAATTTAAATAAACTCACAAAAAAATACTATATAGAGAATGGGGGCAAATCTGTCTCCTGTTACCAGGAAGGATGGGTACTAAAAATTCAAACAACCTAATTTGTTCAGCAAAACTAGATCTTCTAATTAGTGAAACAGTCCATATTACCTTAAAATGATCAACTACCAATATTTTAGAAAATAATCATTGCATGCAATCTTGTGGCATGCTATAACTGTGGTCATAGAAACACAGTGGCATCTTTTAATTTGTGCAGTTTCATAATTCAAATGAACTTGCTTAAAATTTGTGGAAGGGTAAAGCTCTTCCCAACAGCTTAGTATAAAGATGTGATTCTTCTAGTCTGTGTTTTCCACACCTCTAAAACTTACTACTTACTTGCAAGTTGCTAAATGTTTGGGGCCACTTACCAAGATTCTTGCACAAAATAATGAGGAAGACAGGTATATAGTTACATAGAACTCTTCACCATAAAAATCAGTTCAGCAGCCAGGACGACTAAAAACAGATTGCATCTGGCTGAATTCTAATTCAGGTGAATATGTGAGTCAGCAGGGAGAAAAAAATCAGGCTTGTATGGACACACCATACAAGCTGACTAGGTGACAACTTTGAGACACCAGAATTGAGAAACGTGTATTTAGGGTTGCCTAAGTGAATTTGGGCTCCAGGGTATTTTCAAGAAAGAGGACAGAATATGTGGAAAACAACCTCTAAACAATGAAGATCTGGCCAGGCCCAGTGGCTCACACCTGTAATCCTAGCACTTTGGGAGGCCAAGGCAGGCATATCACTTGAGGTTTGGAGTTCAAGATCAGCCTGGCCAACATGCTGAAACTCCATCTTTATTAAAATAAAAAATTAGCCAGGTGTGGTGGTACGTGCCTTTAATCCCTGCTACTCGGGAGGTTGAGGCAGGAGAATCGCTTGAACCCAGTAGGTGGAGGTTGCAGTAAGCCCAGCACTTTGGGAGGCCATGGCAGGCGGATCATGAGGTCCGGAGATCAAGACCATCCTGGTTAACACGATGAAATGCCATCTCTACTAAAAATACAAAAAATTAGCCAGGCATGGTGGCACGTGCTTGTAGTCCCAGCTACTCCAGAGGCTGAGGCAGGAGAATTGCCTGAACCCAGGACGCAGAGGTTGCAGTGAGCCAAGATCGCACCACTGTACTCCAGCCTGGGCGAAAGACCGAGACTCCATCTCAAAATAAAAATAAATAAATAAATAAATAAATAAATAAATAAATAAATAAAATCTGTGTGGTCAAGGTCAAGTCATTATTATTTACTAGTGATCTGTATCCCTTTTCCCAGTCCATTTAATCTAGTTTGATGCAGAGAAAAGATTGGATGCTGTGAGGGGCTGAATATAAGCATTTACAGTGCATCTCTGACTACATACACAGAGAAACTGTTTCTGTTTCACCGGTTATTCTAAGTTATTTTTTCTCCATTAGTTTAGCTTAAGGATTTTACTTAATTCAGAAGTAACATTTAACTCAAAAAGAAACACAAATACACCCTCTTCCAATAAACAAATCAATAAGCACTTTAAAAGGACACTTAACGATTTCCCTAGAGACTTAAATAGCTATATTAAAATTTATTTTATTTTCCATGGCTATAAGACCATGTTTATTTCTCCAATAAATTCACAAGAACAAAGGTATCATGCAAAGCGAATAAACGACACATTACAAACTCCTGGCTCTGAGAAGTTCCCAAACCTGATTGATGAGAATTACAAAACTTCCAGTCCTGAGTAATTTGAAGAGGTCTAAAAACAGACCCCAAACAAACAAAAAGACTTCTTTTGAATGTGTGTTAATAAACGAGCTATGAATTTACAAACCTCTCAACATCATTTTCACCTACTAACAATCTATCAACTTCTCAATTTCACCTACCAACAATCTATCAACATTAAAAGGAGAAAACACGTTACGCCTTAAATTTGATTGTTTTATCGTGAGGTAATGAAATGTCAGGATTTCATAAGACATCAGAAATCGGTTGTCCATACTAGATTATGTTTGAAAGCAAGCCCTGAAAAAGGCATCCCACAATGTAAGTTTTCCAGTGTTGGTTACCCTCAAGATGTTTGCTTTTCGTTTACGTGTTTGTTTTATAGAAACAACGCTAACAAGTTGCTACACAGCCGCCTTTCACGTGTCAGGCTCCCTAGGAGGACTGAATCCCTCCTCCCCAGACCAAGGATAACTAGCCCAGTCTCTGGGTTACTGGAGGAGAGGAAGGACTTTATTTTCACCTCCTGGACGATTACAAAAACTAGTCATTGAAAACGAGGAAAGGAGCAGGGTGTGAGAAAAAACTGCCTGAGTCTCATATCCTAAGATCTTTTAAACTCCTTTCCCTACCGAAGGGTGTCATTCGTACCGCGGCGTGGGGCTGGGGGTGTGGATTTGCGGGGAAAAAGGTGATCACACTTCACTGGGCTTCTGAAACATTCAGCTATGGAATCTACTGTGGACTCTTGAAAAGTTCATCCCGAGATCTAACCTCAAGCCTCAGTTTTGGCCAAGCAAGCCCTTCCCCCTTCGGTCAGGTGCAACAAACTTCCCACTCACCCCTCCTTTGCTAACAAAGCCGCTCCAGCAGGAGAGAAATGACCTCTATCTCTCGCCACACCTCTTCTGCACCCAGTCTGCACTCCTTCACCTCATACGTACCCGCCTCACCTTCTCGCCGGAGCCTGAGATTTAACCCCTTCCGGCCCTCGAAGGGAACGGGGAAGACTAAAGACAACGCACCTATTGCGTCTAGCAATTCTGTTCCCCGAGGAAACGTGAGCTTTAAACGAAAGTACCAGCCCGTTCTCGCTAGGACTAAGTGAGCTTCTCCCTTCTTGTTTGTAGGGAAATCCGTCAAATCGCCTACTTTGCCACCTCACCCCACCGCCGCGACTGTAGAAGTGCGTGGGGCTTTACTCCCAGCCTTACTGGTCCACTCCCAGAAAAGCCTCTGTCGGACTCTGACGTCTAGGGAGTTGTAGCCGCTGCCAGAAATATCGATGAGCCTTTACCCTGAGATTTAGAACAGGAGCTCTTTCTGGGGCAAATACAAAGAACGTGTTTCTTCCTACAAATTAGTAGCATCCTCTCGCTGTATGGATTCAGCTGGCGAAGTAACTCAAGCCTTGTTCTGACTGCCAGGGTGGGAGGGGTGGACGGCTCGGTGTTCTTCCCGTTGTGCCTTGCGCTCGAGGTGCTGGTCTACGCTGGCCTGGACAGTCCGGGCTAGGAGCGGGAGCCGAGCGGAGGCGGAGGAGATGGCGTCCCAGCCGCCACCTCCCCCCAAACCCTGGGAGACCCGCCGAATTCCGGGAGCCGGACCGGGACCAGGACCCGGCCCCACTTTCCAGTGAGTGTGGGATTCTTCAGGCTGTGAGGTTGGTGGGCCCGAGCGGGGACTTGGCCGAAGGCGGTTGAAGCGGTTGTTGGGGGAGGTATTCCCTCCCCTCTTTTAACCAGTCCCCAACCTTGCGGGTAGGGGTCGAGGTGGAGTTGGGGCGCTTACCAGTGGGGATTTTTCAGTGTCTCACAGCTGTTTCTGACCCCCGGCAACTCTTAAGCACCAACGTTTTTTTCGGGAGCTCCTGGGCGTCTCTCTGGGTCTCTGTGCTTGAAAGAAAGCGGGGCGGCTTCCTACCTACCCCTTCTGTTTTCACTTTGACAGAACGGCTTCACTATCTTTAGAGCATAGACTTTGGGTTTGTAGCAGTTGACAGAGGCATTTGTCCAGCCACGGCATCGGTTAGGGAACAAAGTCTCGTTAAAGGTGTTAACCTCTCGAGAAGTTGCCGAAAGCCCGAAAGGTTTTACGCAACTAGAACTCAGGCCCCGAACACTTTGCCTTCTTTTCCAGCGTAACTCAGCCAATGTTTCAGTTTGAGATTGGAGAAGCAACATTAAAGCAGGAGTTCTAGATCTGAGGCCTATGGATGGCCTTTGTGTGCAAAATGATGTATTTTTCTGAGAGCTGTAGTTTTTTGTTTGGTTTTTAATCAGTATCAGTTGGTTTCTAGGACTTTGAAAAGGCTAAAACATGCAGAGTTGGGAGTGTTTCATGGCCTCGTGTGGCTTTTGTTTGGTAGTACTGGACATCTTAATTCAGATAGGTGTGATTCAAATGTCAAATCAACTACTATTGTAGATTTTCCTAAGCGTAAAAACCCCAACATATTGGAATGTATTTCTGTTGTGTTCTGAAATCTTTTATTTAAACACTAAAATGCTTTAACACGGTAACTACTTAGTTTAATAAGGATATATACATAACAAGTAATAAGCTTTAATTAGGCTGGTAAGTCACGGTGACATTATCTGCTACCTTTTTTATGATTCGGTTCTTTTTTCCCCATTTAGACTGCTTGTCGAATGAGAAGAGGTTTTATTTTTTGCATCTGTTAAAGTTCTTTTTATGTAAAATTAACCATTTGCTCACTTTATCATGAAATATTTCAAACACAGAGACTAGCAGAGAGTAAGAATACCTGTTTATTCACTACCCAACTTTAAAAAATGTTAACATTTGCCAGATTTATGTCGCATTTTTAAAAATAAAAGTTAAAGTCTCCCATTCTTCTTTGTAGTAGTGACTATTGTCCTTATTTGGTGTTTCGCATACCCAGTAATGTTTTTTAACGTTAGTACTTAGGTTTGTGCTATTTATATGCATTTTATATCCAAAACTTAACAATGTAACAGTATTATATATTTTATATATAGTTACATGTTAATGTTTATTATTTTTTATATCTGTTTTTGTTTTTTCTGTTGCCCAATTTTCTATTGGCTTTATCTTTGCTTATCAATTTGTAAGAGTATTGTTAATACTAATCCTTTTTTGTTACTACATTTTGCTAATATCTTTCACTGTGTGGCTTCTCTATATTTATGTTCAATTTTTTGTACAGATGTTTTTGATTTTAATATTGCCAAAACGGTCGTATTTTATTGTTTGTGCTTTTTGTCTTGGTCAAGAAATCCTGTCTACCTAGATCAGGACGGTTCTTCTGTATGTTTTCTTTTAAATCTTCTGGTTTTCCCATTTATATATTTAATCCACATGGAACTAACTTTGTATAAAAATCAGTGTGAAGTAGGGAATTAATTTTTTGTCCATATAGGTAACTAATTGTCTCAGCACCATTTATTGAGTAGTCTATTCTCAGTTTATAATGCCATCTATATCATACCAAGTTTTCCTAAATATGTAGTTCTGTTTTGGGCACTTTCTGACTTTCTACTAGCACCACACTATCTTAATACAGAATTTTATAAGTCTTGATATGTAGTATGTCAAGAGTTTCCACACATTGCTGTTCTTTGTAATTGCCCTTGTTACACTTAGTCCTTTATAAAAAGACTTACTGGGATTTTTATTGGAACTGAGCTGAATTTGTGGATCAAGCAAGTTTTTATTCCATGAATGTTGTATAAGCTACAATTGGTGAGAATTTTGATAATCTTTTTGCCTTAAATATCTTATAATTATCCACTTTGGGAGGCTGAGGCTAGCAGATCACGAGGTCAGGAGATCGAGACCATCCTGGCTAACACGGTGAAACCCCGTCTCTACTAAAAATACAAAAAAAAAATTAGTCGGGTGTGGTGGCGGGCACCTGTAGTCCCAGCTACTCAGGAGGCTGAGGCAGGAGAATGACGTGAACCCACAAGGCAGAGCTTGCAGTGAGCCGAGATCATGCCATTGTACAGCAGCCTGGGCAACAGAGGGAGACTCCATCTCAAAAAAAACCAAAAAAACTTGGCCGGGCGCGGTGGCTCATGCCTGTAATCCCAGCACTTTGGGAGGCCGAGGCGGGCGGATCACAAGGGCAGGAGATCGAGACCACGGTTAAACCCCGTCTCTACTAAAAATACAAAAAATTAGCCGGGCGCGGTGGCAGGCGCCTGTAGTCCCAGCTACTCAGGAGGCTGAGACAGGAGAATGGCGGCAACCTGGGAGGCGGAGCTTACAGTGAGCCGAGATCGCGCCACTGCACTCCAGCCTGGGTGACAGAGGGAGACTCTGCCTCAAAAAAAAAAAAAAAAAACAACAACAACAACAAAAAAAAACACTTAAACTATCTCCATGAAATTTTTTCCCATATTTTATTTTTTATTCGTGGATTATTTTTGCTGTAGTAGTTGCAAATGGGCTTTCTTTTTTCTTTTTACATTTTCCAGTTGGTTATTAACTGGTATGGCAGAATGCTATTTTTTTTAATGTAAATATTATATACAGCATAATCTCAAACTCTTAATTAGTTCTGATGGTTTGGTTGAAATTCTCTTTAGTTCTGTGTAGCCAGTTATGTAATTTACAGATAAGCTAGCATCCTTATATTGGTCCTGACTTCCATTGGAGTGCTTCTGAAGTTTTACTGTTAAATGTGAAGTTAGCTTTTTGTTTTTGATAGATATCTTGTCAAAATTCTCTCTCTCTACCTTGTTCAGAGTTTTTTTATTTTATTTTATTTTTATTATTTTTGTTTGAGATGGAGTCTCACTGTGTCTCCCAGGCTGGAGTGCAGAGGTGCAATCTTGGCTCATGGCAACCTCTACCTCCTAGGTTCAAGCAATTCTCCTGCCTCAGTCTCCCGGACAGTTGAGACTACAGGTGCATGCCACTCTGCCCAGCTAATTTTTGTATTTTTAATAGAGATGGGGTTTCACTATGTTGGCCAGGCTGGTCTCGAACTCCTGAACTCAGGTGATCTGCCTGCCTAGGCCTCCCAAAGCGCTGGGATTACAGGTGTGAGCCACTATGCCTGGCCCTTACCTTGCTCAGATTTTTATCATGAAGAAATATTAAATTTTATGAATGGCTTTTCTGCATCTGTTGAGACCATTGTGTGTATTTTTGCTTTAATATGAAAATGTGGGAATAGGAACAGCTCTGGTCTGCAGCTCCCAGCGTGATTGATGCAGAGGACAGGTGATTTCTGCATTTCCATCTGAGGTACCTGATTTATCTCATTGGAACTGGTTGGACACTGGGCGCACTCCATGGAGGGTGAGCCAAAGCAAGGCAGGATGTCACCTCACTCAGGAAGCGCAAGGGGTCAGGGGATTTCCCTTTCCTAAGCAAAGGACACCATGACAGACTGTACCTGGAAAAACGGGACACTTCCGCCCAAATACTGGGCTTTTCCCACATTCTTAGCAACCAGCAGACCAGGAGATTCTCTCCCATGCCTGGCTCGGTGGGTCCCATGCCCACGGAGCCTTACTCAGTGCTAGCAGAGCAGTCTGAGATCAATCTGTGAGGCAGCAGCCTGGCAGGGGGAGGGGCGTCTGCCATCACTGAGGGTTGAGTAGGTAAACAGAGCAGCAGGAAAGCTCGAACTGGGAGGAGCTCACTGCAGTTCCGCAAGGCCTACTGCCTGTATAGACTCCACCTCTGTGGGCAGGGCATAGCTGAACAAAAGGCAGCAGAAACTTCTGCAGACTTAAAATGTCCCTATCTGACAGCTCTGAAGAGAGCAGTGGTTCTCCCAGCACCGTGTTTGAGCTCTGAGAACGGACAGACTGCCTCCTCAAAGTGGGTCCCTGACCCCCGTGTAGCCTGACTGGGAAACATCTCCCAGTAGGGGCCGAAAGACACCTCAAACAGGCAGGTGCCCCTTTGGGACAAAGCTTCCAGAGGAAGGATCAGGCAGCAATATTTGCTATTCTACATCCTCTGCTGGTGATTCCCAGGCAAACAGGGTGTGGAGTGGACCTCCAGCAAACTTCAACAGACCTGCAGCTGAGGGACGTGACTGTTAGAAGGAAAACTAACAAACAGAAAGGAATAGCTTCAACATCAACAAAAAGGACATCCACACCAAAACGCCATCTGTAGATTACCAACATCAAAGACCAAAGGTAGATAAAAGCCACAAAGATGGGGAGAAACCAGAGCAGAAAAGCTGAAAATTCTAAAAATCAGAGCACCTCATCTCCTCCAAAGAATTGCAGCTCCTCACCAGCAACAGAACAAAGCTAGACAGAGAATGACTTTGATGAGTTTGTCGAAGTAGGCTGCAGAAGGTCAGCAATAACAAACTTCTCCGAGCTAACCCATCGCAAGGAAGCTAAAAACCTTGAAAAAAGGTTAGATGAATCGCTAACTAGAATAAACAGTGTAGAGAAGATTTTAAATGACCTGATGGAGCTGAAAACCATGGCATGAGAACTTCGTGATGCACGCACAAGCTTCAGCAGCTGATTCAATCAAGTGGAAAAAAGGATATCAGTAATTGAAGATCAAATTGACGAAATAAAATGAGAAGACAAGATTAGAGAAAATGTGGTTTATTGTATCAATTAACCTTCTATCGTTGAACTATCCTTGCATTTCTCAATGAACTCTGATTAGTCGTGATTTTTTCTGATATGCTATTCCAAATTCTATTCTAGGCCAGGTGGAGTGGTTCACATCTGTAATCCCAGCACTTTGGAAGGCCAGGGCAGGAGGATTGCTTGAGGCCGGAAGTTCGAGAACAGCCTGAGCAACATAGGAAGACTCTTATCTCTATAAAAAATTTTTAAATTGACCAGGTGTAGTGGCATGCCCCTGTAGTCCTAGCTACTAGGGAGGCTGAGGTGGGAGGATCCCTTTGAGTCCAGGAGTTCAAGGCTGCAGTGAGCTGTCATCATACTGCTGCACTCCAGCCTGGGTGACATAGCAAAACCCTGTCTCCGAAAAGAAAAAGAATTCTATTCTAATATTGTAAGACTGTTGCATACATTTTCCTAGGTAAAATTGAAGTTTTCTTTCTTTGTACTATTCTGGTTTTGTATCAAAGTTTTATAGCTAGAGAAATTTTTCTGTTGAGTCTTTTTTTTTTTTTTTTTCCTGAAAGTATCTCACTCTGCCACCCAGGCTGCAGTGCAGTGGTGAAATCATGGCTCACTGCAGCTTCTACATCCTGGGATTAAGTAGTCCTCTTGCCTCAGCCTCCTGAGTAGCTGGGACTACAGGGGCATACCACCATGCCCAACTAATTTTTATATTTTTAGTAGAGATGGGGTTTTGCCATGTTGCCCAGGCTGGTCTCAAACTCCAGGGCTCAAGCAATCCACTCACCTCAGCCTCCCAAAATGCTGGGATTACAGGTGTGAGCCACCTTACCTGGCCTAATTCATTTCTTTTTAGGCAGACTGCTTTCTCCTTAGTAGCCTTGATATGTTTGGTCCTCTAGCTTTATTATATTGTATCCAGGTATGAATATACAGACACACACACACACACATTTATTTTTTTTCCTTCCTGCTCGGCCCACCATATTCAGTCTGAGGATTCATGTATTTTTTTAATTCAGGAAAATTCTCACCAATTATACCTTTAAATATTATTTTAAGTTTTGTTTGAACACTAGTCTTTACTATCTCTTCTTCTGTTAAGCATTATATCAGGAATAGTGTCTGCTGTAAGTAACAGTATCTGACTTACTGTGATTTGGACTATAAAGACATGTATTGTTTAGTTAGCAAGAAGTCTAGAGATCTGCCTTCTCAACATTGTCATCAAGGGACTTAAGGTTTTCCTGACTTCCTTTTTTTTTTTTTTTTCTTTTGTCAGCTCTCTGACTTTTTGGCCATCTCTGTCTTTTGTTTTGTTTGTTTGTCTTGAAATAAGTTTCACTCTGTCACCAGGCTGGAGTGCGGTGACACAGTCATACCTCACTGCAGCTTCCGCCTCCCAGGGCTCAAGCAGTCCTCCCACCTCAGCCTCCCGAGTGGCTAGGACCACAGGCACATGCCACAATGCCCAGCTAATTTTTGTATTTTTTGTGGAGACGGGTTTTTGCCATATTGCCAAGGCCCATCTTGAACTCCTGGGCTCAACTGATCTTCCCACCTAGGTCTCCCAAAGTTCTGGGCTTACAGGCATGAGCCACCACTCCTTGTCTTATTCTTTGCTCCTTTAAAAAGAACCTTACCCCACCCCATGTCTGGCTGCTTTCAATTTCTCTGTTTTAGTGTTCAGCAATTTGCTTTGTTAGGCCTCAGTGTGGTTTTCTTTGTATTATTCTGGTGGAATTCATAGAGATACTTGAATCTGACTTTGATGCCTCTCATTAATTCCAGAAAACTTTAAGCCATTATTTCTTTAAATATGGTTTCTATCTATTGTCACTTTACTCCTTAACTCAACTTGCATATATACCCCATGTGTTGCTATACTCTCTGTATCTTACTCTCTTTTCTGTATTTATCCTTCTGTTTCTTATGCTTCATTCTAGGTATTTTCTTCCCGTCTGTTTCCTAGTTCACTGATACTTTTCTTTCACTGTGTCTAATCTGGTATTAAACCAGTCATTGAGTTCATAGTTTCCGGTTTTGTTTTGTTTTGTTTTGTTTTGTTTTTAGTTGTAGAATCTTCATTTGGTCCTGCTTTATATTATAGTTTCTATTTTCTTCTGGAAAATCCCAATCTTGCCTTTTTTATTTGAATATATTCAGCATAGTTGTTTAAAGTCTCTGCCTAATAACTCTATAATAACTCTATTATCTGGATCCCCTTTGGAGCTCTTTGTATTATCTGAAGTTTCTTTTTTT